GCCTTGGTAGCCTATCTAAAGTGAATTTTATCTAGAGCTACCGTAGATCGCTTTTGAAAGTAATTTAGTCGTTTTAGCATGCAAATGTAATTTTTTATATGTTAAAGATGAAGTTCATTTTTTTTTCATAAACAGCCGTGTAACAAATTTATCAATCGATGCTTATAATTATATCCAATTCGAAAACGTTTAAAGTGTGCCATTAAGAAGGTATTACTAACTCTTGATATATATACAATTCTTCTATCCTTCAAGATCATTCTAAAGCAGAAAATGATCTAATTTAGCTATATTAATCTATATGATGTAGTGACTACACTTAAAAATACGCCATCATTACTGCATATAATGTAGCTACGCAACAAATCTATCAATTGATCCTGGTGATTACATCCAATAAGAAAATGTTTAAAATATGTTATTAAGAACTGTAGTAAAACTAATTGTTAAGAGCATGAACAGTTAATTATGTTAAACTACACGAGCACTGCATCTTACGGCAGCTCATATTAGCAATTTGGGTAATAATTAAGAACTCAACTTCAGTGCTAAACTTGCGGTACTACAAGATGGTACTACTAGCCCTTGATATGTAAGTAAATTCACCTACCCTTAAAGATTTATTGGTAAACAAAAATGATTTAATTGAGCTGCGTTAAGCTATTTGATGTAGTAATCTCAATTACAGAGACGCCATCACCGCTGAATATCTTTGTGAATTGGTAAACTTCTGATAGATCCCAAGCGTGATCTTATGATACATTAATGTTTAATTATACCTATCTTGAGAGTCACAAAGTAGTCACATTGAAGGGATTACCATTAAGGTGAAATATAGCGTACTAGAAATTAGTATATCTGCGATCATATCGAACTAGAGTCTTAATCTAGCATAATTTTTCATAGTAATAAAATTATGTATTCTTTATCTTTTATAAAATTTTATATGGTTTAATCATATTAACGAGTAAACAAGAAATAATCATACAGTGATTAAAGATTAAGTAATAAGAAAACGAATATTCTCTACATAACTGCTATGATAATGATTAGAGAATTTTCCTAATTCACGTTACGGCAATATTTATCATCCATACATATACAGTAATCATCTTGAGACGAGATACGTACTAATCAAAGCTTCAGAAGCGATAGAGAGACTAATGATGCTTATTTAAGCTAATATTCAATGTACTATGCAACGAAATATCACAATACCATCACTTTACAATTACTTCCATGACTCATGCAAGTATACTCCACAAATACAATTAATGGAATAAAGCGACTCATCATCACATGCTATATTGTACGATCATAATACAAAAAATTTACTATTTCTTTGCCATACTAGAATGAATTTCAAAATAGATGCGATTATGCCCAAATAAAGGTTAAAGAATAAATCACTTTTACTGCAATAACATTGAAATATCAAAATAATTCGGTAACTTTGCGAAATTTGAATACTACTCATATATCAAAATTATCTAATCCCTAAGTTAATATATGACAGCACAGTATCTACCTAAGGTTGAAGCAAATTATTAAACGTTCGATTATGAAATTGAATTATTTATAATCAAGCATAAAGTACGATATAAATCCGCCTTTACAAAGTTTCATGCCACTTTTGTGACTTAACTTAGCACATGAATTACAATCGCATTATTGACTTTCAAAATATTATCGAGTAAATTGTATTATCTAGTGAAACTAAAGCAGACAGTTTCATTAATTAACAAGGCGTCCATTCGACGAAAACAGTTATTATCTTCAGAAAGATCGCACCTCTACTGATCTTTTTCCGTAATAATACTACGCAGCTCTTACAGTCAATAAAAGGAGATATTTATAGTTACCAATTTTACAAGCTTCTTATTTCAAGTTTTGAACTGATTGAGAGCATTCCCTATAAAGTCAAATCACAACTAAATTGCGGTAGAATTTTGATAAAGTATATCAAGATTTTAGTTGAGGGAAGGTAAGTCTAAGTTTTTAAGTACATTTCGGTAGAATATAATTTCATGGATTTATATTTCGACTATATCTTTCCTTCCACAGTCTTTTAATACATTTATTGTATAAATTAGTCGAATTATCTTACTAGATGGTACAAGATTATCGTAGTCTTAAAAAACAGTTTGGCACAATTGATGATTATATATATTATAACAATAACATAACATGTATAAGTATTGTCAGGAATATTGTTATATTAATAAAATGCACGGTGACGATGTTCTCTTCGCTACCGATATTGTAAAAACGAAGATCGTTAAAATTTGACGATATATACGATAATATATATTTAGATATATTTATTACTCTATTTTAGTCAGAGATAGTCTTATTAAAGCCATATTGCCACAATCAGATTTTATAGGTATCTATGAAGGAATTAAATTAAACTAAAGTAAAAGTCGTTTAAGTTAAGAGATTTCTCACTAGTAAATTCAACTTTGTAAACCTTTAACGCTGTCTAAAATTGCTAAAATATTACGAGCACAATTCATTAGTTATTTTTTCATTCTTTTCATTTTTGATATCGTCATCGGTATCAACCATTGTCTGTTTAATACTTTAACTTAGATCAATAAGCAGATTGCCACGATATTCGCATTACTACAGCATATGGAAAAACTGATAACAATTAGCATTACTGAATAGAAAACTACATATTGCCAGCGCTGATATTATTAGTATAGAGCGAGCTCAGCTCAATACCGTATAATGCTTAGCCTATATCAATATACGAGATGCTACGGATAAATTTATAAAGACTAATAAGCTACTTAAAAGGGTAAATCGGATGAAATCATGCATTGTTACTATTCATTCATCTATCAAGACGCACATTGCAAAATGCAATATACATTAAGGATAACAAATCTACCGCTCGATAAATTGTCCTTTTAAAAAGCTAAAGACAATTAAATACCCGTAAAGACGCATTCATTATCTCTATTACCTTAAAACGTTGCCTTTAAGATCAATTGTAATTAAGGCTGCTCAAAGCTAGAAAAGTCATGTTAGTTAATTATACGTAATTATTTAAACTCCAAATTCAGGTAATGCTGATAACGGTTTGATCTTTTGGAATTCTAACTATCCATGTCAACTTCCAAGAAACAGCTATCGAAGTAGATATTTTAATAAAGGTGAGAAATGGAGAAACGGGAAACATGTTCATCTGTATAGTATTGAATACTTAAAACGATGTACTTTAATAACTAAATCGATGTAGATGTCATTCTTAACGCTTTCCCTTACATATCATAATCACTAATACCTACCATCCTTTTAAATATAGAAAAGCATCAGTTACTGCGTCTAAATTTATGATCTTAAACCCAAAACGTTAATTCAAAGATTCATACACCATAGAGCATCAGGCTGTAGTGAAGATAGTCATTCTGAAGTTCTCTGAGGATAAAACTAAGTTCACCATGGAATAATGAGGCCAACAATAGTTCTGGCTAGCTCTGACTCATGAATTTAAATAATATACTGAGATTAATCTTTAAAATTATCCTACAATACAAATTTGAGAGAAATTTAAATTTCAATTTTTCGGCATTATTACTAATCTAGCGGATCCAGTTACTATATTTGTCTTTAAAGATATTTGGTATTACTAAGAATTAGTACCAGTTAGTCACTGAAGTATCATCCATAAGAACAGAAAATTTATAGACATAAATTATTGAGCCATATCTAAGCTTACCAAATACTAAAATTCTATATACCGTGCATGAATCCTCATCAAAAAAGTGACATAATCAGAAAAAAAATAGTCGTCGGCAGAAAAACTGGTTCAGTTTATCTCCATACTCTAATGATGCGCCAAAGAAAATATCAATCGATAATGTTATTATCCGAATCCTGCAGTACTTTCTTCCGCTACCTGCATTTAGTTAGGTGTTGCAAACATACTTTTCGACAGGGCAAAAAGGTTGTTACATTGAATTTTACAGATATCGTGCAATCGCTAATCGTACAGTATATATAGACTATATATCATGAAGCTAATCCTTTCTCGACAGTAAATTATCGATATCCAATCTCTTAGTGGACATATTAAGTGATTTTTAACTGGAAATACTATCTTCTATTTTTATATAAGATAAAATAGTTTTAATTTAATTGAGAAATACCAAGAAAAGATGCATTATTCTTATCTATAATACGCTACTATCTCTATCAAGATCACGAAAACATTCAAAATATAGAAAATCTGTTTGATGTCACTTCCTAGCAACACAAGCGCTAATTGCTAGCTTTTCGTCTGCCCTTGGCGAATACAGGACATATTAAATATTTATTGGATAACAGTATCGTTTGTAAAACAAAGACCTAGCTTATTTGTCAAATATTCTTTAAATTAGTATTTAATTGAAAGCCTTACTAGAAAGAGAAGATAATTAATTATTTAAAGTGTGAAAACTTTTCTTTCCTTCATCCTAGATTATAAATATCACAATTGTAGTCCATGGCTATTGTTAATCAAGTATCGAGACGAAATTTATAAAGTGGAAGCAAAGAAACCGTTATAATTTGGCATATACGGCTAAAATTTATAATTTAATAATTATCAGCTATAGCACGGATCTACCGTATTTCTATTAGAATTATAATTGTTAAGAATAAAAATTACAATTCTAATTCTTAAATTTCAATTTTAAAATAACAGTAGCTTCAACACAATCATAAAACCCACTCGAAATATTAACATCTTTAAGTGATCAATCGAAACTCAGTATTTACTGCTAAAATATCTAACAACATTAAATTTACGAAGAAGATTTAACCGGGACTGAAGCTCAACATTCTCTAACCGTAGACTGATCTTGCTTATCTATTTCTTATCATGAGTATTTCAAAAGGAATCTAGCAATTTTAATCGAAAAAAATTTGGTCGCTTAACCTATAACATCACCGAAGGATTTAAAAATTAGCTTTTGTAGACTTTTTGTGAATACTGAAAGATATCTGGTAAGATGCCTGATAACGAACAAGCAGCAAGTAACATTTCACAACCACCATTTAATCGTCATCAAATGGCAGCAGTTATTACGGCTCCAGTCTTAATGACTAATATAATCTTAATACTTTTAATTTCTACACAAAGAAAGTTAAGAACACCATCGAATGCTATCGTTTGCAATAGCTGTATAGCTTGTCTCGTATTAGGAATTATTCATATTGTTAGTGCTGCTATTTCTCTCAATCAAATAAGTCAAATAGAAAATATTGCTTTATTTTGCTTCTTTAATGAATCTACCGAACTAGCTTTATCTGGTGTTGTCACATTTCATATCACCATTTTAGCTTTAGAACGTTTCTTTTCAGTAGTTTATCCATTTAAATATGAACGCCTTACCACAAATAGGAATATTGCAATCTTATTATTATCTCTTTGGATTATTCCAATTTGTGTTATCTTCATACCTGTGACGGTAACATCGCTAAGTATTGGTGGTAATTGCGATGAATGGTCTGAGATTCCAAGCGTACGAGTTGTTTTTCTTTACGTACTCTTCCCTTTAGTTTTATTTATCCCTTCAATTATTACTTTACTGGCATATTCGGGTATAATGTATAAAATTTATATCATTACAAGTCAAACCTGGTCACAACAAACTTATACCAATTATCAACGAAATAGTTCACGTTATCAATTGATGGTTGGCCATAGGAAAGCATTATTTCAAATGCTTATACTTCTGACGGTTTATTCTTTATCCTATTTTCCTTTTTACGCCTTCTATGTTATTTACATCGAATCCAATCGTCAAATACTTGCAACAGCCGCTTATGTCAGCTATTTAGTAGCAATTGCTTATTTAAGCTTTCATCCCATTTTAATCATGTCCTTTACTGCAAATCTAAAAGAAGAATTTGGCAAGCAATGTCATCGCCTACTTTTCCCCTGTTCATCCCACTCAACTAAGAACAAAATTCATGTTTCTACATTTATGACCAGTACAGCATATTAAAGTCCAGATACAATGAATCTATCCATTTCAGTTAATAAAGAAATAATAATTAAGAATAGCATTAATTTGAGAAGCCCATATTGGAGATTATAACCCTATTAATCAATTCATAATCTGCGAGGAATTTCAGCTTGTAATACTTTCTTCATGTTATGCATGCATACTAAATACCAAAATAATCACTATCAAATGCCACCGATCTATACTAGATGGCAATAATCAACAAGGAAACAAAGAACAAATGATTAATATCATTTACATAATTAATATCAGTGGTACAGCTTAATTTCTTTAAGCATATCGAAACGAGTTATTAATAAATTCGGCATCGCATTCATACACTAATCCTTAAAATGAATTAATGATCGCCGATAACGGTTATTTTAACTGTTTTAATTAGAAATTTCATTCGGGTACTATTGCATGGAAGCCGATTTTGTATTCGATCATTCTATCCTGAATATTAGATAGCACAATTATAAAGAAATAGTTGAAACTATGAAAAAAATAATTTGTTTCAATAATTATGATTATTAATAAACGCCAATTCTTTCCATCTTTATTTATCACTTTGTAAGAATTATTATTCCGTAAAGTGAATTTATAAATAAGCTAATAGGGCAATAATTAATACATGAGTTAGAAAAATATGGTATTTTAGTTTAGTTTTGTAAAATAAATAAGGTAATCAAGTTTATAAATACTAAAATACTTTCACTAATTTATTCGTAATTTGCGATAGTCATCCAAATTATCATTCATTTTAACCTGTAAATTATCTCAATAGTCATTTTTTACCTTCTAATATGCTTCTACCATAAAACTAAAGCGTAAAAATAAAATTTTTTAAAATCATAATAAGGCAATAATGTTTCTAGCAAAATTCATTGAACTATGCAAATATAAGTCTTTATTTCAATTTCAAGTTCTTAAATGACATCATAAGCCATTAATCTCCAGTACAGCTAATCTTCTAGCTAACTATTAACCAGTTAAGATAATGATTTAAGCATGATTTTAAAATCGAGTTCTACATTCATTATTTTCTCTTAGTCACTTGTAATAATATTCAAGGTTATAGTCATTGACAGCTCTAAAAGAAGCAAACCCTGGCTAATAAATCTTGAATTATTTTATGTTAATACTGCTCAACTATTTCAATGAGAGCATGGCAAAATTCACTACGTAAGGATATTAGTAATGTAATAATATCCATAACCCTGCCTAATCGTGTACTGTAGCATGTCTATTTTCTGACAATCGTTATGATTGCATTCAATTTGATTAACGAGTATTAAAAAAATGATCTACCAGTACATATATCCGTCTGAAGGATTCATGTACGAGTACACAGTAATATTTTTGAAATTTATAAAAGCATTACTTTTATAATTAATACCTAGAATAATTTATATCAAACGGATAAAATCATTAATAAAGGATGATTTATGGGATCTACCCCATTATTTCTCATTCTGATCAAAGTGATATCTAGATCTTTTGTTTGTAGTTATTAAACTTCGATCTACATTCTACGCAAAGTTCATAATTTGATCATAGTTTACTATACGCGCTATGGATACCATCTGATATTGCTATTTCCAAAGCAAATATAATTTATTTTTTCAGGATATAATACAACTGATATAAATTAAGTATAACCTATTATCTTTTATTGTATAAGTTCTGAAATTACTATGAAAGATACAAATCTCAAGACTATATTTCAACCAGAAAAGCCCATCGTCGGGCATTTATCACCTTGTCAAGTATCTCTTATCAGGCTTAGAATGAAACATGAGTATAAAGTTGTGGACATTTACTAGATTATTGATAGAATAGACTATCTGCAGCATTTCGCAATAACACAAAATTACTTATTAAGGTGAGGTATCATGAATAAAAAATGGTTCACAGTAGGGATATTAACACCGTAAATATCAACTATGGAATAAGATCTTAACGGTTTTATACATCAGAGCAAAATATAGTCCATTCATTTTGAATATATTCGTAACTCTTGTAACAACGGTAAAGGTATTCTTATACTTTTGTTATAATTTATCCATAATTTTTATGCGTTCTATAAGCATAGTTAGTACGCTGCATTGTTTTTTTCCGTGAAATAGCATAGTTTGTGGCAGTAACTAGCTGGAAGTTTTAAAATTTACTATTATAGCTAACATATAACGGTAATATACTTGTAGTCCCATTTATATTGCTCTCACTAAAAAAACAAACTGATCTTAGAATATTTTAATAGATGATGCCGACCAAGGTACTAATACAAATTTTGTAACCTAAATAAATAAATTAAATTATATACATTTAATGCCTGAGTTACATAAATAGTATTAATCGAGGGGCTCCTGATTAAATATCCTGTGATAAAGTTGTTGTTTTCTTGCAAGTAAGCAAATACGAAGAAGTAATGCTAACGATATCGAAAGCTCACGACAACTATAATGAAAATTTGATAAATCAGAAAGTCAAATTTGATGATCTCTAAGCAATAAAGCCTGAAGTAGATATACACTATAACAACTGATTTAAAAATTCTTTATTAATTTGTTCAGCAATCTGCAATACCAAATCTTTTACAAAAATTATACGGAACAATTTTATAGGGCTCTTTAATCTGAATATCTAGACATATGCTCACGTAAACAATGGCAATCATTTCTGTTGAATGCCAATGCTGGTGAATGCTTGTATGCTCCAATTTGGCTTTGATTAATACCATCACGGTGAAATTATCAATAAAACATAATTATCTCACCTTGATTGAATAAGTAGCGGTACCAACTTCAATTTATCTTGTTTATTTTGAAGATACTAACCAAAATATGTTACTCCATACATCGCTATAGTATATGTAATAAAGTATTATTACAGTAAAATAACCTATTTTTGCAGGTAGAGTTTTGGGAACTACTTGATAAGATTACGGTAAAGAGCTACTGGTATATTTCATATATGTAGAAAATCATAAGCCGCATAACTCTAGAATTATGAACGATCTCATATTTCGGACTTTTAATACAACTAAACGTTCAAATTCCTTCGACAATCCGTATATATACATTGACTTATTAAACATCGTCTGACTCAAAAAGTATAACTTTTTATTTCCAGAAATTGCTAAGAATTCTTCTTTAGTTTAGTTTATAACAATGATATAAAATTTAAAGTAGCCATCATGGTTTTGACGCCTAGTATGCTTATAAACCGCATTGCCTTTATTATAATGGACAATCGAACTCGCTCAAGGTTTACAATTCTACCATATGGTATCGCACTTATTGACTAATTACTTTACTAGAGAAGGATCTACTGCATGTACTCACAATTATGGTATCATCCTTTATTATCAATTACTAGCTAATGCAAAATAAATTTCAGGTTTCATATTTATTATAAGCGAAATTTGATACATATCGAGTGAAAATGACTTCTGAGCTTAAGCCAACATGATGCGCTATGTTTTGATCACAATTATCAACATATGATCTGTGCATGAAGTTAATTTCAAGGACAAAACTACCTGCTCTGGTTTATAGTGAATATAACTCAATTCGATGTTGCCATGAACTGTTGCTTTGCTATGTTGATATTTAGCATGGTAATTTTCAGCACTATTGTCAAAGATAAAATTTTTCCCTTTACGTGTACAGATAGCTCTGTCTTCAAATATATGATATGATAATGATCATTGGTTAAAATATATTGAACATTCCACATTTTATGTTTCAGGCTAGCATAAGAACTAATTTTACTTACCTCTAAAGAAGATTAATCGTAAAATCAAATCCATGAGCTGAATTTAAATTGGTATTAACTTGCTAATTTTGGAAAGAGTCGGTTAAAAGAGCCATCTGAAATCTTCGATGACAGTATAGAATTAATAATACTTTTAATACATAATCGCATTTACTTTTATAAATGGTAGTCCAAATTTTCTACCCACTTTATCTAACTATTATCACCAGTAATTTGTGCAAGCATGTTAAAAACAATTACTTGTCCTAGTTGCCGTAAATAACTCTATCAGTGACGAAAATCTACAGTAAATTAAAATCTGTTCAATCATAAATTTATTAGACAATTACTTAATTTATAGATGCCTATGGAATTACGAGTAATTCAAAACTAGCTTCCATTCAAAAAAAAGTCAGTACGGAAACTTGCTGCATCAATATTATAATTTTTATGCTTTATTGCCAAAAAAAATGAAGCTGTCGCGGTACGCCGTTACTAATTAAGTATCTGTTGATTAATGAATGCTTATGAATAGATAAGATAAGGTTATGTGCTATGTTTAATGCGCATGTAGCTGATAATAGGATGGTAGAAATGAGATAAAAATAGAAGTTGTTAACAGTTAATTTACTGTTTTGTAAGGTGTGTTACTCTCTAAAAATTGAGCCGTATATGGACGAAGGTTAAGCGTCTTAACATCTGATAGCTTGTAGCTATCTAAGTCTGAGAATATCGACATGTATATTTAGTAATGGTATTATACTAATTAATATAACTTGTAAAGTATGAATTCTCACTCGTTAATATTGGAATTCACTGTAGAAACCTATTTAAGCGCGTGTGTTTGTAGAATAAAGTTAGTAATTGCTCAAGAAACAGCAAGACTCATATCGTGAAGAATAGTGTAATAGTTAGTCAGTTGTCTGTGGAGATCAGCCGAGAAATCGAGTTCTCAAATACTTCTCTCATAGAAACTGAAAGTACTAGGAGAAATAGCCCAAGTTTTAAGTAACTACACTAGAGTTCTTTACTTTCCTTTGCTACAAGTGAGGATTGTGACAGAAGCTTATACCGAATTCGGTTGCATAGAGCAACGTAAAAACGTATTAGTCATTTTAGTACCGCATACATTGTAATTTAATCAAATTATGATCGGCGACTTTAATCTTTAATTTTTGAATTTCGACTTGTCAAAACTTTTGCAGAATTCTCAAAAGTGATCAGAACTTATGGGACAACAG